GCGCGGGAATTCAAATCCTCGTCCCTCCTAGCAACTTTTTTCGCTTTTAACGCCATTTTTCGGGGATTTCGGATTTTTTTCGAATTTTTTCGCTATAATATTGGGAAAATAGACAACTTTTCGAACATTTTAATGCAATAAAAATTTTTGGTCGGAGTCCCCCTTTAAATTGAGTAGAAATTATTTAACTTTAAAAAATTTTTAACAATTTTAAGAATTTTATACTTTTAATTGACTATGAAAATATAAATAGAAAGTAGTAGAACATTGAATAATGAGAAATCAGAAAATAGGGATTATTCAAAGTTTATAACAGGCCACGATTTTGTACTATCATAATCTGCGGACCTCGCTGCTATCGCCACTGGTGCTTCTTCTTCCTCCTCCACTTGTGTCTCTTCTTCCTCCTCCACTTCTGGCTCTGCTTCCTCCTCCTCTTCTGTCTCCTCGCCGTCATACTGGCTCGGCTGCTCTTCCGGTTCGATGGGTCACTTTTCTAATTCGGTGGCAGTCTCCGCAGGTTCGGTGGTTGTTCTCAATGGGATCGGATTTTCGTCGGGGAGAGCATAACGAACGAAAGTATTGTCATACTTTCGCGGCCGTTTGACTCCTCATTTAAGACCTCGAACGTGAAGGTCTTCACCTGCCGGACTACCACTTCACCTAGCACAGTTACCATCTCCACGTGCTTAATGTCGTGGCTGTAATGTTGTTGGTGGGACCAGACGTCATTTATGACCACCTGAACGACATGAACTGAGAATTGTGAAAAAAATGATGTAAAACGAGCAAAAAATGTCCAGAGACCGAAATTTGATCAAAACAGCTTCAAAACTTGAAAATAGCTGAAAATCTTAACTTGGGTATAATTTTTTATTTTGCCCCCCCCCCTTTAACCTGGGGCCCCCCTTTTCTCATGGCCCCCTTTTAACTTGGTCCCCCTTTTCTCATGCCCCCCCCCCCTTGTCATAAAGAGCCGGATATTTTGCGGCCTTTTTTAACCACCTTCTTCCAACTTATTGATTTACCGAAGGCACTTCTAGAGAGACATAGATGTTCGTTGAATTCAAAAAATTCTACTTAGCATCCATCAACAACTTTTTACAAAAATAAGCGAAACAAGAGAAAGTCAGGAGCCCTCCAACTAAAGGGGGTAATTCAAATAAAAGCGCTCTTCAATTTTACGGTATCTGGGTAGATATAGATGCCGACTATCTGGCTATTTTAATTTTGTTCACAAATTCACATTCTTAATTCCAGAAGCCTCCAGTCAAAAACTCCAAAGTCTCCAGTGCCATTTCAAGGTGACAGCAATTTTGTATGGGATGAAGTTCCAGGTTCTCAACAGTAAGTACTAGTCACCAAAGACTTCAATATCAGAAAAAGTCAATTTCACAATCAAATAATCTCTTTTCAGACCAAAAAGAATGAGCACTGGCAGCAAGGAACACAAGGATCAGTTCAGCAGTAAGCCATGTCAAAATAGTTCCAATGGAAGCAACCATCAGTACCATGAGGACCCAGTTATGAATACTCCGGATGTAGAGGCCAATTATCATCAGGAAAATCGTGATCCATACTTTGACACCGATGAAATCAATCCTAAGTACAAACATGATCCAGTGTTGACTAAAGTCGCTCTTGGCACCGACCTGTACAATCAGCAGCTAATCCAAAAAAGCCGCGATGTCAATGACGACTACAGCAATGATGAGTACAACCATCAACCACTTCAAACCAGCACTAATATCGGCTCCAGCGATGATCTGGTCATTCCTGATTCACTCTTTGACAGCTCCTATTGCGACACCAACGATTATCAGTACGAGAATCAACTACTTCACAGTAGCACCATTCGTATGTACAATCAACAACGGAACTCCGATACCGACAACAGCAATGATCAGTACACTAATCAACCCATCAATCCGTACAAACGTGTGCAATTCCAAAACAGCAACGATTTCAATGCCAACAGTGAACGTCGCCAACCATCCCATTCCGTCGAATCAATTATCAATAAGCCAGATCGCAGAAAACAAAAGCCTTCAATGGATGAAATGGCTCCTGTTAAACAAAAGAAAGATTATTGGAAAAAGATAGATGATGCGTACAAAAGAAGCAAGGGTTTTCATGGTGAGTCATAGAGGAAAATAACTAACAACTCTAATTTTTTCAATTTCAGGCACTCAATCGACTTCATCCTCTGACTCCCAAGCGTCGTCCTCATCTCCTGACTTCGAAAAATACAAATATTATGAAGGACTTCTGGCTGCTCCTCTTGCCAATGGCGCTACGCTCGATACTAAAGTTCTATGCAACGCTGTTTTTCAAGAACTCGAAACTCGAAAAATTCCACAAACAATTTTCGCCACAAGAGTCGCTAATCGCGCTCAAGGCACTCTTTCCGAGCTTATCAGAAAACCAAAGCCGTGGGATTGTGTCAAATCTGGTCGTGGTGTATACGTCCGCCTTTTCAATTGGTACCAATTGCCAGAGGACCAACGAATGGAAATTGTTGATAAGAAAATCAATTGGCCTGTTCCGGAGAAAAAACAAACTGCTGGAAAGAGGTTGGTTTTATATTTAGATGTTCAAAAATTTCAGCTAACTCTTATATTTTTCAGAAAACGTGCGACTAAAGGTCCCGCTCCAAAGAAGCCACGCACAGAGTTCACTCCAGTTCAAAAAGGTGCTCTACAAACCATCTTCGAAGAGAATCCAAAGCCATCAGCTGACGTTATGGCTCATATTGCTCAAACCCTTGAATTGGACAATGACAGCGTTGCAAATTTCTTTCAAAACACTCGCAAACGAACCAATGATCAAATGAAACGTAATCGTCATCCACAGAACAATTTCCAAGATTACCAAGAAGACAAAGGAGAATATTATTAATCGATCAGATTGTCAATTTTAATTTTTTCATGTAATGTTAACGATGATGAATCAAACTCTCTCTTCTTTTTTTAAACTTAAAATTCTTTCTTTCATGTACACATTCACTGAATTGTACCGCTTGTACTGTCATAATCAATATCGCGCATCTCGTCAAGTTTCATCCAATTGGATATTAATAAAATGGTTCATTTAAAAATATTCGATTTAAAAATTTATTGAAAAAAGAAACAGTTGTGAGTCTGATAAGACAGAAGAGTCTAAAGGTTCCTTAAATCATTTGGTCATCGGATTAATGGGTCATGGGGTTATGGGGCTGATGACCTAGTAGCCCCATGAAACTTGATTGATTCAAAAAATTTCAGTCTTGAAATTTTTATTTGAGTAGATCAAAATTTTGAAATTTTGACCAATTTTGACCAATCACTATTTTGGCCAATAACCCGCTCATTCTTCAAACGAACTGCCAATATTTTTCTCTTGTTCTGTCATTTTTCATCAATTTTTTTCAAATTTCTAGTTCTTCAAAGTACATCAAATATAATTTTACAGACGAAATATGTATCAAAATTGGCGAGAAGAGGATTCAAAAGCGGCGATGACGTCATCAGGTGGTTATCCACGTGATTTTTTTGGGACAGACGCGTTATGGGATACTGAAAGTTTCGGAATGTAAGTATGGATTTTTACGCGATACAGTATCAGAAAGGTCCTCACCAAGGCTGTGCAAATCGTGGCCGCGGCTGGCCATGGCACAGCCTTGGTCTTCATACTTTAAACTTTGAGCCACATTGTCTCGGTTCCTGTCGAAGATATAAAAAAGTTGTCAACTGATAGATTGTTTATCAAGATGTCATAAACATTTTATCAATTGCAGATTTTCTGTTATCCTTAATAGAACCAGAGATAAATTGGGTCAAAAATAACTGGGAATTTTTTATTTTTCAGGACACCCACCAGCAGTTTCGGAGCTCCAAATGTTTCAATACCAGTTCAGTCTCCCGATAAAAAAAACGGATTACTGTACCAGGTAAACTAGTAGTTGCTGTTTTTTTTTGCAAACTTTATAATTTTAGAGGCAGCATGGTCCATGGAGTGCTCAAACAAACGATGGAGTGATGGATAAGGAAACATATTTCAATGAAAACTTGGAGAATACGGTTGAAAAAGAGCGCTGTAACGAAATGGAAAATGCGAATCCAGTTGTCTATGCCGACGATGAAAATACGAAAATTCTGGAAGAGAAGTCATCAGTCCCTGCAACTACTCTATTCCAATCCACCAGTGGTCCTGATAATTTCTGGAATTCCAACCCTTACAAAGCTTGGAATGATAGTCCAATAACTTTGAAGCCAACTGAACTTATGGACAATAGTATGCACCAATTAGATGCGCCAATACCCGGAAATATAGATACAGAAGAATTATGCGAGAAGCTTACCCAAGAGATTCATAAATATTATATTTCTCGTCAGTATTTTGCGAAGAAAGTGTTGAATAAGGGTCCAAAGGTCCTACGTAAAATGTTGAAGGATCCGAAACCCTGGAATAAGCTTCAATCTGCTCGTGTAAATTATATTCGGATTTATAATTGGTTAAATTTGCCGTTGGAGAAGAGACTGGGCATTTTGGATATGGAATTGCCGGAAAAGAAGTGTGAAACTACTGAAGCCGTTAAAGCGGACCTATTGAATGCTCCATTACCAGGAAAACCAGATTTGGATACAGAACAACTAACTGAGCAACTGGTCCAAGAGATAAAAACCCACGAAATTCCCCAAGCGAAATTTGCGAAGAATGATGTTAGGATCTATGATCGGTTTAATTTGCCAGCGGAAGAGAGAATGGAATATTTTAAGGAGGATAATAAAAATTGTTCCAAAAAGAGGTATATCTTGCAGTTTATTTTTTTTCAAATCAAAAGTATTTTTTTCCGTTTTTTCCAGAAAAAGTTTCGAGTACAACGTCATCGATCATCATGACAATTATCAACCAATCCAAAACAATCTTGATGTCGATGACAGCAATAATCAGTACAATCAACAAGCACTTCAAACCAGCACCGATATGGGTTCCAACGATGCTCTGTGCATTCCTGAATCACAAATCCAAACTTATCTCCATAGGGACGACATCAATGATCAGTACAATCATGAACTACTCCAAAATAGCAACGTTCGTATGCACAATCATGATCCTCTGCTGAGTAACTCCGATACTGACGACAGCAATAATCAGTACAGCCACCAACCCAACAATCCGTACAAACGTCAGCCATTCCCCGCCGATATCAATTGCGCAAGGGAGGTTTTCAAGAAGGAACCATTCCATTCCGTCGATTCAGTTTTCAATAAGATGGCTCGCAGAACACAAACGCCATCCGAGATGAGATCACCATCATTAAATGATGTGGCTCGTTTAGATGATTCATACAGAGGAGGCAGTGATAATAATAGTGAGTGGTTTTCATCCAGTACTATAAGAGACCCTAACTTTTTTAATTTTCTAGGTACTAAACCGACTTCATCCTCATCCTCTGACTCCGCATTCGAATATTATGAAGGACTTCTGGCTGCCCCTCTTGCCGATGGCGCTGTGCTCGACACTAAAATTCTAAGCGACTCTATTCTCCAAGAACTGGCAATCAAGAAAATCCCGCAAACCATCTTCGCCAAAAGAGTCGCCAATCGCTGTCAAGGCACTCTTTCCGTGCTTCTGAGAAAACCAAAGCCATGGGATTGTGTTAAAACTGGTCGTGGCATTTATGTCCGTCTTTACAATTGGTACCAACTACCAGAGAATCAAAGAATGGAGATTGTTGATAAGAAAATTAATTGCGCTGTTCCGGAGAAAAAGCCAGTTGATGGAAAAGGGTTAGTTTCATATTTAGACGCTCAATTTTTTTTACTAATCCTTCGATTGTTCAGAATACGTACGACTGAAGCTCCCGCCCAAAAGAAGCCACGCACAGTGTTCTTTCCAGTTCAAAAAAGTGCTCTACAATCCATCTTCGAAGAGAATCCAAAGCCATCAGCTGACGTTATGGCTCATATTGCTCAAACCCTTGAATTGGACAATGACAGCGTTGTAAATTTCTTTCAAAACACTCGCAAACGAACCAATGATCAAATGAAACGTAATCGTCATCCACAGAACAATTTCCAAGATTACCAAGAAAATCAAAAAACAGATTACTATTAATTCATCTTATCCGATTTTTCAAATTCTCAATTTTTTGTATCATCGATGATGACTCAAATTCTCTCTTCTTTTTTTAAACCTAATATTCTTTCTTTCATGTACACATTCACTGAATTGTACCGCTTGTACTATCATAATCAATATCGCGTATCTCATCTCAAATCCTGATTATTTTAAATCATCTGTTGATGACTCAAAAATCTCTCTTCTTTTTTAAACTTAAAATTCTTTCTTTCATGTACACATTCACTGAATTGTACCGCTTGTACTGTCATAATCAATATCGCGCATCTCGTCAAGTTTCATCCAATTGGATATTAATAAAATGGTTCATTTAAAAATATTCGATTTAAAAATTTATTGAAAAAAGAAACAGTTGTGAGTCTGATAAGACAGAAGAGTCTAAAGGTTCCTTAAATCATCTGGTCATCGGATCAATGGGTCATGGGGTTATGGGGCTGATGACCTAGTAGCCCCATGAAACTTGATTGATTCAAAAAATTTCAGTCTTGAAATTTTTATTTGAGTAGATCAAAATTTTGAAATTTTGACCAATTTTGACCAATCACTATTTTGGCCAATAACCCGCTCATTCTTCAAACGAACTGCCAATAGTTTTCTCTTGTTCTGTCATTTTTCATTAATTTTTTTTCAAGTTTCTAGTTCTTCAAAGTACATCAAATATAATTTTACAGACGAAATATGTATCAAAATTGGCGAGAAGAGGATTCAAAAGCGGCGATGACGTCATCAGGTGGTTATCCACGAGATTATTTTGGGACAGACGCGTTATGGGATACTGGAAGTTTTGGAATGTAAGTTTAAATATTTACGCGTATTAGAAAGGCCCTCGCCAAGGCTGTGCAAATCGTGGCCGCGGCTGGCCAAGGCACAACCTTGGTCTTCACACTTTAAACTTTGAGCCATATTATCTCGGTATCTGTCGAAGATATGAAGAAAGTTGTCAACTATTAATTTTTTATCATAATATCACCAACATTTTATCAGTTTAACATTTTTCGTTATCTTCAACAAGAACCGAGATGAATTGGGTCAAAAAGGACTGGGAAAATTTTCATTTTCAGGGCACCCACCAGCAGTTCCGGAACTCCATATGTTTCTATACCAGTTCAGTACCCCAATAACAACGGATTACTGTACCAGGTAAACTAGCATTTGCTGGTTTTATTGCAAACTTTATAATTTCAGAGCCAGAATGCCCCATGGAGTGCTCAAACGAACGATGGAATAATGGATAAGGACAATTATTTCAACGAAAACTTGGAGAATGTGGTTGAGAAAGAGCGCTGTAACGAAATGGAAAATGCGAATCCAGTTGTCTATGCCGACGATGAAAATACTAATCTTCTGGAAGAGAAGTCATTATTTCCTGCATACCAATCCACCAGTGGTTCTGATAAATTCTGGTATTCCAACCCTTATAAAGCTTGGAAGGATAATCCAATAACTTTCAAGCCAACTGAACCCATGGGCAATAATATGCATCAATTAGAAACGCTAATACCCAAAAATATCGATACAGAGGAATTATGCGAGAAGCTTACTCGAGAGATTCATAATTATAACATTTGTTGTCAAAATTTTGCGAAAAAAGTGTTGAATAAGCATCCACGGGTCCTACGTAAAATGTTGAAAAATCCGAAACCCTGGAATGAGCTTCGAACTGGTCGACTGAATTATATTCGGATTCATAATTGGTTAAATTTGCCGTTGGAGAAGAGACTCGGAATATTGGATATGGAATTGATGGAATGGAAGACTGGAACTTCTGAAACCGGCAATGTGGACCCATTGAATGCTTCATTACCAGATTATGTCAAATTGGACACAAACCAACTGACAGAGCTAGTGGCCCAAGAAATGAATACCCATAAGATTTCAAGTAGAAAATTCGCGAAAAACCGGCAGCCAATCCAAGAAAGCCGGAATGCCAATGATGAGTACAACCATCAACCACTTCAAACCAGCACTAATATCGGCTCCAGCGATGATCTGGTCATTCCTGATTCACTCTTTGACAGCTCCTATTACGACACCAACGATTATCAGTACGAGAATCAACTACTTCACAGTAGCACCATTCGTATGTACAATCAACAACGGAACTCCGATACCGAAAACAGCAATGATCAGTACAGTAATCAACCACATAGCTCTAATGACCAGCCAATCGATCCGTACAGACAAAGATCATTCCAAAACGGTGCAGATTTCAACGTCAACAGTGAGCGACGTCAATCATCCCATTCCGTCGATTCAGTTTTCAATAAGATGGCTCGCAAAAGACAAACCCCACCTGGAAGAAGATCACCATCATTGGATGACGTGACTTATTTAGATAATTCATACAGAAAAGGCAATGATGATGAGAGTGAGTGTTTTAAAGCCAGTACTGTAAAATACCCTAACCTTTCAAATTTTCCAGGTAGTCAATCCACTTCATCCTCATCCGCTGATTTCAAAGCCTTCGAATATTATAAAGGACTTCTGGCTGCCCCTCGGAAAATAATAGATGATGCGTACAGAAGAAGCAGTGGTTTTCATGGTGAGTGATAGAGGAAAATAACTACTACCTCTAACCTTTTTGATTTTGCTGGCACTCAATCGACTTCATCCTCTGGCTCCCAAGCCTCGTCCTCATCCTCTGACTCCGAAGCATTCGCATATTATGAAGGACTTTTGGCTGCTCCTCTTGCAAATGACACTGCGCTCGACACTAAAATTCTCTGCGATTCTATTCTCCAAGAAATGAAAACTCGATATATCTCACAATCAATTTTCGCCACAAGAGTCGCTAATCGCTCCCAAGGAACGCTTTCCGAGCTTCTGAGAAAACCAAAGCCGTGGGATAGTCTCAAATCTGGTCGTGGAACATACGTCCGCTTTTTCAATTGGTACCAATTGCCAGAGAATCAACGAATGGAAATTGTTGATAAGAAAATCAATTGGCCTGTTCCGGAGAAAAAGGAAGTTGCTGGAAGGAGGTTGGTTTTATATTTAGATGTTCAATTTTTCTACTGACCCGTATATTTTCAGAGCGACTGAAGCTGCGACTGGAGTTCCCGCTAAAAAGAAACCACGCACAGAGTTCCATCCAGTTCAAAGAAGTGCTCTACAAACCATCTTCGAGGAGAATCCAAAGCCATCAGCTGACGTTATGGCTCATATTGCGCGAAATCTGAAACTGGACATAGGCGCCGTTGAAAATTTCTTTCAAAACACCCGTAAACGGACTAATGATCAGGAGAAATGTAAACGTCATCCACCAAACGATTACCAAGAAGAAAATTAACAAGGGGGTTACTATTGATTGATCTTGTCCAATTTTTCAAATCCTCAATTTTGTTTGTATCATCGATGATGACTCAGAATCTCTTTTTTTTAAACTTACAATTCTTTCTTTTATGTACACATTCACTGAATTGTACCGATTGTCATGAAACTATTTTTCAACACTAATTATTAGAGTGTCGTCTCGCGAGAAATTTCTTGCAATACTCGCAATTTCTTGTTTTT